GACCTACTATCCTGTGGGAAAATGGATCAAGATTTAAAAAACAGCGTCTGCAATATTTTCCAAAACATTTAGATACTGAGTTGGTGGTCATTTGATCTAAATATGCCTTTCTGTTTTTAAAATAATTTCCTGTTTTCTTTTTCTCCACTCTAAGTGCTTGCCATACCGCTGTCCTCTTAAACACCCTTTGACAACAATATAAAAACATTTTTGGAAGTTGGTTGCTGTTTTTAAAGGCAGATTTTTTTTAAATAATGCTGGGTAAATATAAACCAACAGTACTTTATGTTAGGTGGCGCCTGGTTCTCGTTGGCCCTTTCACACACCTGCGGATGGTTGCCTCATTACCTGAGGACTCTTAAGCTGCTGACTGCCACTACCTCAACGCCAGAGTGTTTACCAGTTTTGGGTACTCTAGCCAAGCTGAGTTTTGCTGAGTCAAACTGAGTTTTTGTCAACCTCAGTCTTAACCTAGTTGTTTTTGTCTTTGCCTCTCGGCAGGAAGTCATCCTGCACCTGGATGTTTTGGACCTTCTCCCCCTGGAAGGAGCTTCAAACTCTGAGCTTCAAACTGAGCTGGGGATTCAAACTGGAGGTTTTGATCTACTTCTCCCCAAAGGATTGTTTGAGTTTCACACTGAGCAGGGGATTCATCTCCACAAGAAACCGTTCAAGTGCCGTAGGAAATCTAAGTGGCAGTCAGCTCCTCCGTTCCTCAAGGAAACACCTTAATCTGGGTAAACCCTGTCCACCCTCCAACGAGCAAGTCAATTACTGGGACAACCCACACCGACTGGATTCAGAGAAAGACACCTTTTCTGGAAACGTGAGTCCACTTGCCTTTCTTGCCTCTTTGCAAATTGATGCTCAAATTTCCCACTGAGACTGAACTAACACAGAATCTTCCCCTTCACTTTTCAGTCCCGGTTCGTCAGTGTTCAGAGTAGCACTGGATCCATCTCTACCTGGTTTCAATAAACCTGTTAAACCTTCCCCTGGTCTCTCTGATTGGTTTTCTGCATATGGGTCGGAACTTTGAATAAATCATGACACTTAACTTGCTTATTACCTGGTAAAATGAATACATATAATTTTATTTTGACTTTGAAAGATCTGTTTCATTGTTTATCTCTCAAAGAAGGAATCTGGGGTTAGGTAGCTGTTTCTAACAATGAGGAAACTTGACTAGACAGCAGAAAAGTTTCCTTTTTGTAAAAGGGAGGCTAGATTCAGGTGAGCTGTAGATTGTTTAATAAAAACTTCAGAGGCAGTCTTAGGTTAAAAAAACTGCAAAGTGAAGAAACAGGGAAATTAGAGGAAGTGAGAAAATGTCTAATCACATTAGCAGGTTTTGGATATTGTTTTTTTGTTTATTATAAAGCTATAATAAGAATAATACATGGAAGTTTTAGATCAAATTGTATCAGAATGAATCATTCTCTCTGTTAATAAGCACAGCTTTTGATGTTCCTTTCCCTGACCCAAAAAGAAATTATGTGCAGCTTTTCAGACAGAGCCTCTTTATTGAATATCAGCCTCCAAGTTTTTCTCATCAGTTTTTTAACAACACATCTCCTAAACATCTTTTTCTAAAGATTTGGGGTGAGATGCAGACAGAGAATAAATCTGGTTGGTGACCAGAATAAGAATAAGATTCTCAGCTTGGTTAAATGGTTTCCAGCGAGTCTGAAGGTTATAACAAGTCTAATCATCTTCACAATTACTACCTGGTGATTTTAATGACAGTATTTGTGGTTGATGCAGTTACTAAATGAAACACATTAGCTGTTTTCAGTATCAGCAAGGTGTTTACAAAATAAGTTAAGAAATATAATTAAAGCCAGATATGGCACTGAAGCTGTTACACATAATTTACAATGGGGGTATTTCAAATGACACGTTAAAACATTTGCTCAGGCTGTGCAAGAGCTAGAGAGTACGGGTGCATTAGCACTGAACGCGGTGTTCACAGCGAGGGCAGTGGATCTACATTAGCCTCGTGAGACCATCCTGATCTCGCGAGCTTTCAAGGTTTCACTCGCAGATCAGTCTAGCTAATGTCCGTTACAGAAAATTTGGAGCAGTTCACCAAACGAATGTCCAATCAGCGTTGGCTTTGAGGCGGGTTGAGGTGTGACGCAACGAGAAGCGCAACAGTTCAGTCTAAAGAACATGGCGGCTTCAGTCAATGAAACTTACGTTAGCGTGGCTATCCAGCAAGTTTTATTGGAATTACAGAGTATTTCTTCACTGAAAGAAGAGCAAAACACTGCTCTGGAGGCTTTTCTCAGAGGAAAAGATGTTTTTGCTCTTCTCCCGACTGGTTTCGGCAAGAGTTTGATCTATCAATTGGCTCCTCTTCGTTGTCGCTCTGTTAGTACGTCATATGCTTCGTTGATCTGATTGGTTTATTTGGCCCGTCTATCACCAACATAGGCCAATCAGCTAACCAGTATTTTTGCCCCTTCCCAAAATTACTTCTACGGAAGGTTTCCAGATGGATATGCGGAGCAAATCCATCCGGCGGAGTCAGGTTAGATCTACATTGTATCCCCATGAAAACCATGAGCTCTCAACGCGGGCTGCTTGACAGAGCTAAGGTGATGTCAAACAGTAGGGGTGTAATCACATGTGGAGTACTTTCTTATGATTGGCTTATACAAGGGTGCTTTGTGAGTGGTGGCAAACCATTCCCTGCTTAAAAAAACGCATTTGTGCATCGAGGCATGTCATTGGAGTCTCAACAATCCACACACGAATGCAGTGAATCAATTGTTTATGGACAAGAAATACTTTGGTGAATCTTGTTCTGTGCATGTGTGGATCTTGTGTGCTTGTGTGAATCGTACTGTGCTTTGCATGTGTGGATTTTGTACTGTGCATGCATGAATCATATCTGTGTATTTATGAAAATTGAGACTGATCTAGGTCCAAAGGTCTCCCACTATCCACCGCCATGCATTCATTGGAACATTTGTCCCAGAATTTCCCCCAGCACAAACAAGGAAGGTAGTAAAAATTAATGTTTGTTTGCTGCTTAAAGATCATTGTTTCATTTGACATGTTTTCTGTACTACTGACCTCCTGCAGTGGATAATTACACTGTTTATTGAAACATTTTACTTCATTTATTTCTTATATGCACACTGGCGTTTCTGAAAGAACTATATTTCGATGCACCTGGTAGATTTAGATTAAAACCCAGACATTTTAGACTTTTTATTTTCCCCAAAGTGGATGTGTTTTATTTTGCCACTGTATCTCTCTTTATATTTAACTAATGATGTTTCCTGTCAAATTGCTGCATATGTCTGAACAAAAAAAGGACCTGGAGTCTACCTCTTACTCTTTTTTTTTTTTTTTGGACAATATAAAGAAATTAATTTGCTGATTTAGTTTTCTTACATCCTGCAAGCATTTTAAAAGATAAGATTTTTCGTATATGGGCTAAATTACATTTACAGGTTATATTTAATTTTCAACAGATTTCCTTGTGTGAATCGTGCTGTGCTGTGCATTTGTGGATTTTGTACTGTGCATGCATGAATCACGTTTGTGTATTTATGAAAACTGAGACTGCTCTAGGTGCAAAGGTCTCCCACTATCCACCACCATGCATTCATTGAAACATTTGTCCCAGAATTTTCCCCAGCACAAACAGTATAAGTTAATGTTTGGTTGCTGTTTAAAGATCATTGTTTCATTTGACCTGTTTCTGTACTACTGACCTCCTGCAGTAGATAATTACACTGTTTATTGAAACATTTTACTTCATTTATTTCTTATATGCACACTGGCATTTCTGAAAGAACCTTTATTTTGATGAACCTGGTAGATTCAGATTAAAACCCAAAGTGGATGTGTTTCCCACTGTATCTCTCTTTATATTTAACTAATGATGTTTCCTGTCAAATTGCTGCATATGTCTGAAAAAAAAAGACCAGGGGTCTACCCCTTAGTCATTTTTTTTTTGGGCACTATAAAGAAATACATTTCCTGATTTAGTTTTCTTATATTTTGCAATCATTTTAAAAGATTTTTTTTTTCGTATATGGTCTAAATTACATTTACAGGTTATATTTATTTTCAAAAGATTTCCTTGCATAAAGGGACCAACATTCACTTGGAAATAGTAAATCTAAAAATTAAAATGTATGACCAGAATGTCTTTTTTTCATTTGAAAGTCATAGTTACATTTTTTAACTCATAAATGATATTACTAATAAATCATCCAAACTACATTTTCATTTTCTCCTCCAAGAATAAACATTAAAATTATTAAGAGAGAGATGTTGCACAATTCATTTTCATTTAAATTTTTTTTTTTAATGTCCAGTTTGTTCATCAAAATGCATTGGTAGAAATACTAATAAGTAACACAGCTTTTAAAAATGATAAAATAATTCTACCAATCAATTCAAATCAGAAAATTGGGACATATTTGCTGCAGGTTTTGTGAGCCCTTCATCTGTTTCATCTGTTTCTTGAACAGATCACTTGGCCAACTTTCGCATAAGCAATGAAAAGAAGAAAATGTAAAGTCAAGACTCAATAATGAGGCATAAAGCATAAAAATTTAAGATTAGTGAATTATTCTTCTGTCTCGGAATTACAAGATGAAACATTTAAATATAACAGAAAATATTAGTACTTAAAAGGTTTTTAAAAGACGACCAAAAAAGTAGAAGTTCAAAAAAGGAGTTCAAGAACAAGAGAAATAGCATTTATATGTCTTCCAGTGGGGAAGCCATAATTCAGATTTAGATATCAGTACTTATTATTACAATGCAAGACTGGATTTCATTTGACTCCCACCTAAATATCCCTGACTGTCCCCTATTAATCCTAAAATCCTTTCAGTTTAAAAATGGCACATGCCTAACAGAGAGATGCCACTTGAAATCCAAAGTATGTTCCTATAGGAACTGTTTACTCTAAAAGAAGTATCCTCCTAGAAGGTGTTTGGTGATAAATGAGCCCCGACTCATAGGACCATTACCTGCCCACATGACGAGCACCACAACAATGATGATGAGCTCTCCTGCCCTCAGCTGGGCTTGGCCATACTCTTCCATTGTCACCTCGTCTGCAGAGAGAACACACACACACACAGGGAAACCACACACAGAGTCAACAAAGGCAAGGTGGAAGACACTAATTTATCGAGGGCCGGGCAGCACATGCAAAATTTCAATCACTCGCCAACTCTGCAGGGACAGATAAAAGAATGAAACAGGGCGACAAGAGAACAGAGAGGCAGAGTGGTGTAAATTCTTCACTCTGCTCTGTGTAATTAAAGCCAAGTGAGAGAAGCAGTCTGCAGGGACAAAGGAGCCTGAACCCCCACCTAATCAGTCAGCAGGCTTCTCTGGCTGACAGCCCTCAAGCTGCAGCAGCATAACACCAATAACGGCCATAAAGGTTGGAACGCAGTCTGAGTTACAGCCTCTTGGCCTCTGCTGCTGTTAGAAATCTATGTGGGAGCTCACATCTCCCTCTGGTCCGACAGATTTGCTCCTCCAGCCAGCACTTGCTTCCTCTCTCTTTTTATCTTATATTTGAAAAATATGCATAAGACACTATTGCACCTGACTTTCTTCTCTGTTAGCCTCTATTTGGTGGGAATGTGGTTCCCATTGGCATGAAATGTTAGTAGCAAATTTGCCTCATAATGCTGAACATTATATGTGGCTTCTATTGCACAAATAACCTCCCTGAATTCATGGAACAACATACTATATGTAAAATAGCATTTTTATAACCCAACCTAGTGGTTAGAGCAGTGTGCTCTGAGAAGGTTGCAAGTACCTGGTTCTATCCCCAAAGCCCGCACTCTGGGTCTCTGAGCAAGAACCTTAACCAGGCACTGCTCCCCAGGCGCCGCACAATGGCAGGCCACTGCTCCCAAGTGATGGGATAAATGTAAAAGTAAATTTGTGAGCTTAATAATGTTCAATTACTCAAGTATTACACCCAGCCAGTTGGACAGGTGCATTTACAGACAAGAACACACACTGGGTAATTTTTTTCTGTAAAGTTGGAATCCCTTGCACTGGTAACAGCTAAACTATATTCTTTTTAGCTGCATCAATTAATTATAAGGGCTATAATAATCCACTCAGTTTACAAAAACAGAAGTAGGTAAAGTTTTTATTGTTTTTTAATTTTTATATTTATAAACGAAAAAGGAAAATCTCTTTATGCTTTTTAAAAATAAAAGCACGGCTTCATTAATGAATATTTTAAAGAATCAGAACCCAAATTCTACTTATGCAAATACTTTGTTAATTAAGGAGGAACACTGTCAAGGTTGTTCTCATGTATAAAAAACAACTAGTTCATTGGTGTTGTTTTTCGACATAAAATAAAGACAGAACAGATCTCAAGCTGTGTTTTTCTTTGAATTCTGGGGTTTTTATTTACAGGGTTCAGAGGAAAGAGGCAGAGATGGAGAAAATATCAGGTTCTTGGGCCGACAAACAATGCATCATCTGGGCCATATATCTAAACTATAAGAATTTGATACCATGAAAAAAATAAAAATGTTTGAAAAGTATTCATTGTCGTTAGGCAGAAGGAACTTTATGGCTATATTTTCCCCGGGGGAAAAAAAAAATAGTCTTTTATATCATCTTTAACAATTCAACAATTAATCTGCAAAAGCTCCATAAAATGATGCTACACAAATATTTTTTTTTGGCATAAATTTAGCTAAATAAACAAACGCTAGCTTGGACCTGAAGGTGCATGTCAAAACTAAATTCATCTTAATTCAAAATGTTTTAAATATAGCTGAACTTGTGCCATCAGATCTGAATGAAATAGGTTATAAAACAAACATTAATTCACTAAATTGCCTTAAATATGTATGGAAATCTTTTCTGTATTCTGCCCTAATTAGCTCCATCCAAAGGGCATGTTCATCCTTTTCTCTGGAGGAAAGGATTTCGTATGAGACTCTGAAAAACACTCTTGTTTGGACCAATGAGCTTTTGAACAAGGCTAAGAGGCAGCGCCCCAGAAAAGCCCCAAGTCTCATAGATTTTTCCAGAGAAAAGGATTGTATTTTGACCAGTGGTGAACAGCCTTTAAAGCACAATATCAAATAAACTTTTGGCAGTTTATGTTGCTTAGGGAGTTAACAAATGCAATACCTGCAAGTGTTGAGGTTTACCTTAATAAGTGAAAAGGTAGCCTTTGCAGAATCTTGTTTCGGTAAACTGATATTCCCTTCCATCACCCCGATTTTCAAAAGGCAGTGGGAAGATTTCTCGCCCTCCCTCAAATTTTATTATGTATGAGAGCAGAGAGAAAAAGTCTGGATACATGCGGACTGTGAAGTGTATGGATGAATCAGCAGGCGCTCTTTGTGAAACAGTCAAAAGGGTCCGGGCTAATTAAAACAGCCTCTGAGGATACTCTGGGGGATCAGCTTGTGAACTCCAATCAATGAATGATGGCTTAAGCCCTTCATTTTGATGGTTTGTGACTGGGTTAAAGACCAACATCCGTTCAAAGTGCTAAGAGACACTGGTTGAGCAAAAAATCTATTTTACCTAATCCTGTGAAATAAAGAAGTCTGTTTATGATAGAAGTAATGTTGTGATAAGCTATTTACTGACCCCCTTGATGCAAAATATCCTTAGCTTAGGAAGACTTTTCTCCTCTGCTGTGCACCTGTATTTTCCAGTTGATGGCATTACAATAGGCAACGATATAGCAAGAGGAATGGTTTATCCTGTTTATAGGGTTGTAGATAAGCGAGTTCCAACTGGCTGAGACCTTTGCAGAGGTAATTTCAGTCAGTGTGTTGACTAGATCTCCGGCTTATAGAAACGACCAGACTTTTCCTTTGCCGCAGCTACAACCAGGAACAATGTTTACCAGCTAACTTAGAGGTAGTTGGAAAAGAAAGGTATTGCCTTATGCTGAGACTTAATTACTTAACTTGTGAAACAATGAAGCTCCTATTAAACTCATTCTCTCTTTCAACTTATCAATACTGACACCTGGTCAAGCTCCCACCATGTTAGACACGGAGGTCAGATACATGACAAGTATGTGACCTGGGAGAAAATATTTAGCCTACAAAGTTGCTGTTGGTAGTGTGGAGTAAAAAATTAGCACTGAGAGTTGATATCCAAGGAAGAAAAGTTTTTATTTTACTCTGCAGAGGAGACTGGCACAAACCAGCTGGATACAGCTCTGAATGCGATTCTGAGGCTGGAGCATCCAACACCTTAATATAAGAAGATTCCACACACACACACACACATTAACATTTCCCAGGAGAAACAATTTAGTTTATCACAGGACAGAGATTTGTTTCAGATAACAGGTTTCCATACACCCCAAGTCATGAGAATCTTGAACACGATGAGGACATGTTATCTATATTATCCCCTAGGGGGAAACTTCTTTTTTATCTTAGAACAAAGCTTCTAAGTAATCACTCCTATTCAGGAAAAGAGAAAAAGCACACTTTCTCAGGAAAGCATATGACTCTCCAATAGATTTAGAGGTGTATGTTAACATTTATATCAGTGTTTGTTTAGAATTAGTGGTTAGGGTAAGCAATGTGTTAGTGTTAGTTTCTCAGTTTGAAGTTGATGTAAAATTTCTGCAAATTCTTGACACAACCTCCCATGCACACTGCAAGTCAAGATGGGCACCTCTGTCACACCGGTATCTGGTGTCACACAATATTTGACAAGTTAGGAGTGAAACTGCCTTAACTGCCACTATTTAAGGCGCTTGTATCCTGTTTTCAGGTCCATATTATTTTGTTCTCTCCAGCCAGTGGTGAGAGTGTTTTTAGCATTACCTTAGACTTTCTGATTACCTGATCCTGACCTATTCTGCCTCTCAACCACTGAGGCTGCCTGTTCCCATCTGAACAGTTTGACTGAACAGTCTTTGGACTCCTGGACCTCTGAGCCTGCCTGTTCCTGTCTTTATCTATTTTCCTGACCTTGCTTTGGACTCCTGCATGTTCTTCAGGGCTGCAGCATTCGGGACACTCTAGGCGGTGCCCGCCGCATCTTGTTAGCAGCCCACCAGCTGGATCCTACCTTGTTCTCTGACTATGGACTGAACTAGTAAACAAAGTTAGTGACTCATGTTCATAATCTTCCACCGTTAGATTCACACGGTCACTAACCTGTGTTTCTCTCCTGAAGAGTTTCCAGCCTCAGACGCATCAGCCGCTGGTACTCAAATACGCCAGTTTTAAATAAACACTTTTGGCTAATCCCACTGTCTGTCTTGCCTCGAATACTGGATCCTCTGTTCTAAGTCATGACAGGCATGCGATTTACCAGAGGGAAATGCCAATTGTTTATAGGAGTGTGTGTGAAGCCTGACTCATACGCAATTATGATTTGGCCAAGGCTTACAATGACATTTTTCATTCAATGTATTAGCTAAGACTGAAAATAAATTTTGTCTACTTTTACTGAACTTGTGATGGCTGAACTTTTAAGTCAAATCCTGTAGCTTGTGGCTATTTATAGAGCCCATGCATCTGGTGGAGGGAGGGGAAACAGAGGAGCCACAGGTTCAGCGTCATGCTAAGGAACCAACCATGAGAGCTTCCCTTGCAAAGTTTTTATGTCCCCAATACCAGTTCCCCAAACACACCAGACAAGTGACCAGGAATTACCAAGACCTGGCCTCACACAATAAAAGCACAATCGACACATTTAAATGCACTAGGACTAGTTTAACAACATGAAAATAATTGCTCCCAAGACATTGATTACAAGTCTATTACATGTTTTTTTTATATCCCACCCAACTCAAAGGTTTACAGAGTGCTAGCAACCTTTTTCTCGCACCATAGATACATATCTGGAAAACTCTGATGGCATTCCCCAGTCATGTTTGCCCACTGTTAAGAACCTGCCAAGCTCCTTTTAAAATAGTCACCAGCCTGCTTAGTGTTGCTTTAGTCAACCCGAACTGAGGAATTTAATAAGCCAAGGTAGACTTTAAGAAGAGAACACAGGAATTGACTTGAGTATGTCACTAATAGAGAAGCTTCTGTAATAGCTTTGAGACACAGCCACAACACTCATTTGCTCCATC